CGGACCCTGTCCATCCCTGATATAACTAGCTCACAAAATGGGGGTGTTCATTTAGAAACAAAAAAGTTCAAATCATTTCTTCTTCATGACATTGGACCCCGACCCAACAAGCTTGAATCCAAAGACTCCATTGCAATGCTTACCGAAGGTCGAATTTATGAACTAACATCGGAAATTAAGAAGGAATAGAAAAACAAAAGAAGAAAACAAAGTTGGAGAAGGAAAGGAAAATTGAGTGGAAGAAAAAACGAAGGCGATGGTGCTAGAGGACATGGCAGACTCGCGAAGAGGGGAGAGAAGAAAAAGAAGAGAAAGGCTATGGCGGTCTTGAGAGAGGGACAGTGGGAAGAGGGGAAAAAAGGCTCACTTGGGAAAAAAGGAATAGGATAAAAACAAAAAGAAAATTGAAAAAATGATGTCCAATTAAAATAAGCCATGTGGCTGAATAGTGTGTACATTATACATCCGGTTATACGGTGAGCCCCGTATAGCCGGCGCAACAAGGAACAAAATAATAGGCAGCGAAGCAGGCCCATAATAAGCTCATAAGTAACAGGCCCAAAGAAAAAATAGCAAAACAATTGGTGGCATTTTTGTAATTAATGTGAAAATCACGGTTCCTCCTAAATGAACATTAATGTACTGCTAATGAGCAATAGTCTGATTTTAATGAGCACCGTTCGTAATTTCAGTGAAAATCGCGATTTTCGTTAGGTGAGCATTAATACACTTTTAATGAGTATTAAACGTATGCTACTGAGTATTAGAAGTCGAATAATGAGTATTGTGATATCAATTTCATGTATTGTAATTCACTTTCTTTTTTTAATTTTTTCTTTTATAAAAACTCATTAAATTATATCTATAATCAATTACTATGAATTTCAATATGCGAATGTAATGTAATATGGTACTTTTGAAATATGCATTGTTATGACATTTTAAAAATGAGCATAACATGAGTACCAATTGAACATATGTAACTTATAAAATTAGCATAAATATGAAAATCATAAGGTTTGTTAGTTAGACGTCACGACATTTTCATTGAGCATCAAATCTCTTATATTGAGATGAAAATAACGATTTCTGTTAAATGAGCATTAATGAACTTTTAATTAGCAATAGACCTATTATATTGAATATTAGGAGTCTAATATTATTTTAATATTGTGTGTTTTTATTAACATGCATTTTGTGTTATACTAAAATGAGTATAGTGTTTAAAAATAAATGTGCATGAGTAAACATTATAACAAGAATATGATTAATTTTGTAATTCAAGAACTATAAATTTAAATTTTGAAACTAAAATTTATTATATTTCTCATTGTTATATATAATGATGGTTTAGTAAATTGTTAATAATGATTCTATTATATGTGCATATTATAGAAATAAGCTATATGTTAAACTCAAACGGATGTAACACTTAAAAAAAGTGAACATACAAAATGAATTTTTGAGCATATTACATATTTTAAATTAGCTTTTGAATTTTTCGATGCTCATTTTGTAAATTATGTATACTCATTTCATACTGGTATTACACTCATTTTAAAATATCATATCAATGCCGACCAAACTCACGCAACCAAATTGGAGCTTGCTCGCTAACATTATTTCAATGTTCTATAGTAAAACACATGATACTCAATAAAGATGTTTTGATACTCAAATGAGCTTTTGAAATTATTATATTTAATTGTACAGTTCCATTGCTCGATACACATAGTCTTGATGTTCAATAGTCGAGAATACAATATTCAATGAAGATATTTTAATACTGTACTTCAATGAGGTTTGAAATTTGAATACTCAATTCGAGAGGTCTAATGCTCAATACACATAGTGCTCAATAGGGGTTTAATGCACCAAACTCCCTGAGAAATAAAAAACGGCGCATTAGCCCCCTGTGATTTAAAAAAAATGCATCAAATCTCCCTATGTTATAATTAATCATGCAACAACCCCCCCCCCCCCCCCCAGAACAAATTTAATTTCCAAAAAAAATGAAAAATGGTTAGTTTTTTTTTTGTATAATTTAGAAATTTTGACAAAGTTACTTATATATTCAACCATATTATTAAAATAAAAGAATTCAAAATTGTAAAATATGTTCTTAAAGGGGATTTTGCGCATGATTATTGTAACACGGGGGGGGGGGGGACACATTTTTTTAAATCACAATGGAGCTAATGCGCCGAATTTTTATTTCACGGGGGGTTGGTGCATTAAACCCTACTCAATAGTATAGAATAAGATACTTAATGAATATGTTTTGATGCTCAAATGAGGTTTTGAAATTTTAAAATACTCAATTGCAGAGTTCTTATGCACAATAGAGGGAACTTGATGCTCAATTAAAATGTCTTGATACTCAACAAGCAGAGTTTACGATTTTCATACCTATGCATACTTCAATATAAAATTAGATTCACATATAGAAATTCATAAAAGTTGATTATAAATATAATTTAAGAAATCCTTATAAAAGAAAAAACGAGAAAAAGAAAGTGAATTAGAAGATATGAAACAAATATCACATGCTCAATAAAAAGTACATTGTAGATTACACTCCTAACGCTCATTAGGTTCGGTTTGATGCTCAATAAAAGTGCATTAACGTTCATTTAACACAAACCATGATTTTCACCTAAATCACGAAAATGTCACCGGCTATATGGTGTACACCATACATCATATGAATTTTTCGTATTATTCTAGAATTACGCATATTTGAGATTAATATAAGAAGATCGCTAATAGTTGAAATTATTCATGCAAAATTTTCCTTTAATTTATTGTGCCAGGTGGCTAAAGACTGATTAAATAAAGTCACGCAGACGCACATCACCCAGGCACCTGCATACTCTAAATTCTAATGAATGAATTGAAGGTCTGATAAATTCATTATGAATTAGGGAAAGTTCCCGAAATAGGACTAAAGCAGTTTGAAAATTCCAAAATAGGACTATCATGTTTTTATTCGTAAAATAGGAGTAATTACTGTCAAGTTGAAAAATACTGCCATGTTTGAAGTCTGGTACTGCCAAAACATGACAGTAATTAGTCCTATTTTGGGAATAAAAACATGGCGGTCCTATTTTGAAATTTTCAAACCTTTTTAGTCCTATTTCAGGTAATATTCTCTATGAATTACTACCGCCCTTTCTTCTTGGAGCATGTTTGGGAGTTTGAGGAAAGTGGATGCTTTGAAAGTTTAACGAGGGAAGGGAAGGAGAGTTCAAGTTACAGAATTCCGTTCTTTATTTGAGGGTTACAATTTAAAAAGAAAAATACGGAGGTACGTAGTATGATTTTTAAAACCGCTTCAGTGATAAAGGGAATTTAAATAAATGAATTTATATCCACTTTAAATTGAGCTAAATTTATCATTTAATTGTTATCCTTCAAAAAACTCTCAATTTGGGAGAACTTAAAAATTTAGCATTTGAAGAATTTGGGAGGATTACAAAATTTTGGAGAATTTAGCATTTTAAGAATCCTTCAAAATCATCCCTTAGAATTTTGTAAATAAACTCCCAAACAACAAAGGGAGGATCATAAACTATTAAACCCTCCACATCATAAGCCTCCCCTCCGAAATGTAACTCTCAAATACTAGTATAACTTTAGAGCTCACTTTGTAACACTAAAATTAGTTGAATACTTGAATTCAATCAATCTGGGTAGTTTTTTGAATTGTGAAAAAAATCATATTTAACACATATTTTATTATTAAAATAAAGAAAAAATCATATAAAAAAATTGTGACCCATCACCGCATGCAATCAACCTAGCTTTAGTTAAAATTCCTCCATTTTATTTTTATTATAGAATTCGTAAAAGTTGTTTCTACTGATTTTGATAAGGTTTTGGCCGGTGGAAGTGACTCAATTGACTGAATCTGCTGAATTATGAAAAAATTATACCTAAAACATATCATCATACTCTGTACTAATAAGATAGAAAAAATATACGGAGTATGAAATAAATGTTGTGATGGTTGCATACTTGCCTACAGACCTATAGTAATTTCAACCAATTCAGTCAGAAATTAAAAATTATGTATTTGGAAAACCGAAAATACAAACCTAAAATTACTCCGAAAATTACATTGATATATTAAAAAAAAATGTTATGTATGTTGTTAGGTTTTTATATTATAATAACAAGCTTATTAAATTAATTTGACCCTGAGAATATACAACTAGACAATTAACCATGACTTGATCACTATCTCTTGGATCAAGTCATCTAATAGAGTCAAATCACTCACAGAGAAACATATGTCTCGCTCACTACAATACGTAAAACTATAAGCCATCACTAACTGATTTAGCTTCTTTATCACCCTGTGCGACCTAAAACGGGATGGTAAAAACTAAAAGAAAACGCATCAAACCACCGCCTAACTCAAATTCAGAAATGTGAAACAGAAAACAATAGAACTAACATAAAATACAAACCTAAAATTACTCCGAAACTTCAAGAGCTTGGGATTGAAACTTCTTGACGTCTAAGGCAGGCCTATACAACACCTAATCAATTTTTTGTTTCTGCCATCACATGAATCTCACCCAAATCTAAACAAAAAAGCGATCCAAAGCCGGACCGATACAACACAACATGGCTTTGCCCAACCAAGAAAGCCATGTTCTTAGATCTTCGGCCCTTCCTGTAACCCATTCAGAAGACACCCCTCAGTAGTGTAGCTTAGACATGCAATTGAAGGTGCATGGGTGCCATGGATTCTTTTGAGAGCGAGCAAATAAGCAAGTTGTGAATACGTTGATCTTGAGCGACCCAAACTTAAATCATAATTAGTGGACAACAATTTGAGAGTTAACATAAGGATGAGAATGCTACAAGGGAGGGAGTTGTCTGATTTGGCCATTATCAGAGAAGAACAACCAATGGCGGTAAGTAGATATGAAAGTAGAGAAGGTGAGGAGCGACAAACATTAGGTTAGAGATAACCTATACACTGATACCATGTGAGAATATCACCCGTGATGGGTGTGAGTCATTGTATTAATATTTATGGATTTGTACTAAAGCAAGAATAACTAAATCTTTATAGATTTGTTCATGTAAATGGCATGCTAAATTCAAAATAGAAGTATAGCCATTAAATCGGTTAATGAATATTAATACTAATAATAATAATCAATAATAATACATGCAATAGCTAATAAGATCAGGTGCTTATGTGAACTTGTCATCTATGAGTTGGGAGTTCTTCACCAGACAAGAAGGAATGTATAAGTGCTAGAGCTTCACTCGGTTTATTGAGAGGTACAAGATGACCTGCCCCCCTCACTGTCACAAACGTCAATCCATTGTACTCAACAACCCTTCCTCCTACCTGCAACGTTTTATGAATCAAACAACTAATTAATAAACTTGTTAAACGCACAGAGCTAAGATATGGAGCTTGCCTGATGATTGTTGAACCAAGAGCGCCACGGGGATTTCAGAGAAAGCTTAAGGCTTTCTATGCAATATCTTGTCCCAATCACTGGTACTCTCCCATCAGCGTCCCCACTTTTTCATACCCACAGACATCAAACATGCACACACACAAATAGTCAGGGGCGTAGCGCCGTAGCGTAGGTAAGGGGTAATGCTTAGGCTCCGGTCTACCCCAAAATTGGAAAACTAAAACTTTTCATATTAGTGTACAAAAATTTGTGTAAAAATACATGTGAAACAATTCTTCTAATCCAGTCCAATTCATATCCGTGGGCGCCACCGCAAACGGTACATATATGCAGATGAAAGAAATAACATTGGCAAAACCAAAAATGTAATACTAGGCGTCTGGAGCTTAATATTTTATACTAAGGATCAAAGCTTCATACTTGAACATTTTCTATTATAATTTATAAATACATGTATTTACATATGCACTACACGAGTTTTAATTTGAATGGGCCCAATTTGGCCTCTCCAGCTTTTCATTCTCTCCATCTTGTGAAGTGAAAATGAAAAAGTACATCAAGTTCTCTTACCTGTAAATCCAAATCCTGAGCCCACCTTTGATTAGCTTTTCATAAACTGGCAGTATGGAAAAGGTATTGTAATTGTATGAATTAAGTATAGGTCCACTGCAGTGAAAGAGGGGAAGGTAATGTTAAGGATCTCATACTTAATAATGTAATGCAGTATGGGTTACTATATAAGGCATATAAATAAAATTAGTATAATAGTTAATTGATTGGATTTAATAGTGTATGGAACTAGCCTGCATGTTTTCCAGTTGACTATAGAGCTTACATGGAAAGCCTTTTGAACATCAATCCTATTGAAGTAATCTTTGGCATATCGGGAATAGCAGGGTGCATAACCCCCGGGGATGATTACCTTCATGCTCCCCTTTCCATATCTTCTTTCCTGCAATTTATTTTGACCCTCAAACGGAGTCGATGATACATTAGGTTGTGATTTAATGGATGTGAAAGAGAAAGCAAACTTGCAAATTTAAATAAAAAGAGGAAAACATGCATTAAAGAACCTGAGGAGTTCATAACAAATTAACAATTACTCAATAACGACTCCAACAAAATCTCATTTAGACATTTACCCTTATTCTTTCTCAATTTAAATCTAGAAGCACGCCTATCTATTTGGTTCAATAAGCTGAATTTTATCTATATAGGGTCAGGGTTACGGTGATAATGGTTCTACTTGGAATTAGTTTCAATTTTGATCCTACGAGTTTTAGTCAATTTCACATTTAGTCCATGACTTTCACTGTCCATCTTTGGTAATTCTGTCAAATTCTCGACTCCTCTCTAGCAATTTTAATCACCGGAAATATCGACAAAAAGACCATATATGAACAAAAGATAATAGTAATGTATCAAAAGTTATCAAAATCAAAGATGGGGACCGATTGTGGAATGGATGTGATACTTATATAGGACCAATAGTAGAGTTCATCCGTTCTACTTGTGAGAAATAAGAATGACCCTGAAGATAATACTATAACAGTTAAAGATATTGAACATTTCTGGTTTAATATAATGCTCAAAAAATAATTCTACGTACTACGTAACAAAACACCACTGTATTTACTATTTCATAGCAACGCACATGAGCACGTCCCTCTAGTTTCTAGTTTCTACACACTAGATTCATTCGCAATTCTGTCATTGGATCACATTCTCATTTGGTTCAATTTCTACACACAAACCTTTGTTGCTACTTGCTATATAACTTGAACTAATTTTCACATTTGTCAATACATGACTTTGACTATTAATATAATTATGTTATTACTTACTTAAGTTCCTTCAATAACTTAGTCCATGGAGGCAATTTTAGATAGTGTTTGGTAGAAATTGTCACTAAAAGGTTTAACATAGTTCAACGAAACAAACACCTAATCATGTTCAGGTAACATTTCGTACAGAACTCACCTTATCCGGCACAAGATTGATATCAGTAGTTGCTGACGATGAATCGTTGAGAAGACACTTAGGAGCATAGATGTTATAGATATCAATATCACCGTACTTACTGAATACATTAGACATGGCATCAGTGCATTCATCTGACCAGTTAGATCTTCGAAAGTCGCATACTGCTTCTGCCTTGTAATACTGCTCACCAGAAATTATTGCATGACTCCATGCATACTCTAAAAGGCCTTTATTATCATAATAGTCATTTGTTTCTGGGTTCCCCACCTGCAATTTTTTCAGAGGTATGTTTGACACTGCATTTACGGAGTATAAACTAAATACAGTAAACAAGTTTTGAACGACTTTTAATCCTTTGACTAATATATTAGATATTTTTTATACTCGACTTTGAACTTTTCCACTTTTAGTCATTCGATTGACAAAAACGCTTTTAGTATTCATCTTTGGAAACTATCATATTTAGTCCTTTGATTTTTATAAAAGTCACAATTTTAGTCTTTTCGCTGTGATTTTCCATGATAAGTGGAGGACTGAAATGTCATTTATGATAGCAGTTGAAAGATCAAGTGTCACTTTTACATTAATCAAAAGACTAAATATGATCATTTCAATGTCATGGACCAAATGTGTCTTGCGTACAATATTCGAAAGATTAAAAGTGAAAAAACTCAAAGTAGAATACGAAAGTGATAATACAATATATCGTTGAGAGCATTATGGAAAACTGGAATAGGATTACGACATACTATGAAGCCCTTGAGATTTATATGCCGGTATGGTCTCTTGTCCTTGTTTCGATCAAAAATAACTTCAGCGAGTTGGGGAACGTAGTGTCCTGCAATTTATCAAACAATGTTTGTGGTCACTAGCCAGCTACGTTGCACAAATCCTTCATATAGTGGTACCTTAAGACCTTATGCTGATATATCAACACTAAATGAAACACACATACTGGACATTTTTTGTAAAATAGGAACACTTCCTATGCATGTATTAAACCTAATTTCTTAATCCACTTATAGCAATAATATTCACTCGCATTCAATATTCATGTATTCAATCGATTAATATTCAAAATTTGCTCATTTACGACTAACATTGAAGCTGGATGGCTCTATTTCAAATTTAATGTCATATTCTCATACTATGTAGGGCTTCACTCATAGATTAACTTACACATGTACATGCATCTAGCATTTATTATCATTATAAATAACCCTATTTTGGACAGTTGTAAGGGTTCAAAGATCATTAATACCAAGTATCTTTATCTCTTAATTTAGCTATGCTTTCTCCCTAGATTTGGCTAGTGGTAATTCGATATAGCTATCACGAATAATATACAAATTGAGTAAACAACCATGTTAACTAATAATTGTATTAGGCCTATTAGCACATCATCTTAGAATTAACAATAAGACATATACTACCTCCGTCCCATTTATATTGGGACGGAAGAAGGTGGCACGGTTATTAAGAAAAGTGGGTTTGTGTGGTTGATATTAATTGATAAAGTAAGAATAAAGTAAGAATGATTTAGAGCCACACAAACTTTGCCAAATATGGCATGAGACAATTTAAGTGGGACTTCCCGAAAAAGTAAAACGGGACAATATAAATGGGACGGAGGGAGTAGTAATTAAACTTCCGCAAAATTCTTATTACGCGCAACATAGTGTATTCATTCAAATAGAAATGTGGTCGCATTTAATTTATACCAAAATAAAAGTAATGTCGGGCTATAAATAATTAAAAAATATTGGGTTGAACAAGAGTTTTATTTGGGTGGGCAATAGTATAAGAATATCAAAATATTTGTTTAGATTAGTTCAGTCCGGCATTATCTGGTTTTCTATATTCAGAATCGGTTCAATTTGGGATAAAAAATATATATAGAACTTCTAGAACACGTTAATTCAGATAGGTATCGTTACAGTTCAAGCCGGTACTGGTTGATTCATTTCTTATGCCTACCACCCCTAGCAAGTGTACCGGGCCCCAAATTACTCAATCAAGATGCTTAAACTTACCAGACCAAAATAAGCTAGACCCAAAGCGGATCTGACCTAGGTCCACCCCCTTCCTCTAGAATGTTCTAGGTCCTGACTGGTTGGGCTTATAAAACCCCATATGTGTCTGCATGTGTGGGTTTGAATTGAACAATATTTTATATGTTTGAGGGAGAGTGGATCCAAAGGTTTTAAGCCCATGGAAGAGCACTTAATGCCATGGTAGCATTGACAAAACCTCAATAGAAACAACAAATGCAACAAGCAAAACAGGAAATTTGAGACTTTGAGTACGTATGGTACATCTCATCTATTTATATAGGCATGTCTAACCTGCATAGCTTTCCCCTGCTATGAAGAAATCATGATTCTTGAACTGCGGGAATCTCTCTAGCCAATTAACCAGGAAGTTGTAGGAATCCTGAGCTATGTAATCAAAGTAGAGTAATTTAATTACAAAAATCAAATTGATAATATTAATTCCAGGATTGTGTAAGAAAAATCACAAGAGCAGAGTAGTGGGTTTACCAACAAATTCGTCGTCCAGTCGATTCAAATCGGAGGATGTGTTTGTGTAAGAGAACCCAACCCCCACTGGAGACTCAACAAACAACAAATTGGCTTCTGCAATCAATCATGAATTGGAAATTCTAGAATCATTATTATTGTCATGCCTCAATAAAGGATTTACATTGTAAAAATCATTCTTACATTTCGTATAATTAAGTGAACGGATAATTAAATCGGATTTACATTGTAAAAATCATTCTTACATTTCGTATAATTAAGTGAACGGATAATTAAAATCGGAATTATATAGTCCAGATAAGTGAAAAGCGGAAAACCTTTATTCCATGAATAGTTGTTGAAGTGGAGAGCAACCCCATCTTTCTCAACTCTGAGAGGACCCAATTCAGAAGCCGCTCCATATCCAATTGATGAGCAACCAGGTCCTTTAATTATTACCAAATGTAGCATAACATTTTGGTAAGAACCTCAAAGCAGTACGTAAATATACGGAGTATAATAAAGTGTGAGTGTCCAGGTTCGCGCCGTCTCGTATAAGAAATGAGAATGATTTTTATGAGAAAGATTTGAATTTTGAAGAGTTTACTTGCTCCTTCCATCCTTTAAAACTTTGTCAAGTCAATACACAGATTAATAAAGTAAAAACTGTGTGGTTAATTTTGTGCAGAGGGGGGAGAATTAACTGGAAGGACAAATTTTTTACTTATAAGGGAAAATGACAAAGTTAGTGAGACATCCAAAAGTGGAAAGTTGACAAAGTTTTAAGGGACGGAGGAGTATGTCAAAAGCGGATTAATAGCTGGTTATCAATAGCGGATTCAGCCAACGGATTTGACTAGCGAAATAACTTTGTGAGTTGTCAAAAGATGTTTGGAAATTTTGCTATTTGACCATAAAATTAGTAGCAAACATCATATTTCAAAACGCTAACTCGAAACTCTCTTATTTGCAACGTTTTCACTTCAGCGTTTCCATCCACAATCGCCAGTGCCGAACAGCTATTTACCAAACGGTCTTTTCATTTAATGTCCTGGGAATGAGTATTAATTAATACATGCATAGATGGATGATTATGACTTGGGAATTTTGTTAATTATTTAAGGCTTCGCTTTTTTTTAATTGAATAGTAGTACCCTTTCATAACGACTTTAATATAATTATGGTTAATAAATGTTATATTTCTTTATTTAATATACTAAATAATGTATCAAGATTGAAAAAATGTGAATGTTGTTTTTTAGCGAATGAGAATGTAATTATAAACTTTGATTTTTTTAATTTAACATATATAATATTGGTGTCAACGAAAGATCATAGAAATTTATAAATTTTGATTATGTTTTATAAAAAATGGAGCTAAAATGAAAAAGTTATAAAACACAAAAAGTTGTTTTATAAGGAGTATATCCTAGGTAGGTCCCACTAGCTATTCTCTCCTCCATCTTTAATCCTGGGTTGCTTCAGCTATTCATTTAACGTGAGTCGCCAAATGAAAGGTGATGCTTCATTCTTGTAAACTATGGTTAGACTCAACAGTACAGCCAGTACTTAGGTATATATTTTTAGGAAAAAACTCTGAATTATTATCAATTTTCTCGAGTAGAAGTATCATTGATATTTTCTAATATACGGAGTACTCCGTAAGATCGATTCATGTACTTATCTCTAATGAAGTTTTGATTCTTTTGTTCTTTTGAACTTCTTCATTCTTTTATTCTTATTTTGAGAAATTTTTAAATATCATTATTCTTTATGCTAAAACGGCATGTTTAGCTAACAATTGTGGGGCTGATGATCAAGTAACGTTTCCCTATCAATTAAACTTTTCATGTTTAATACTTGCTCCCTTTCAAACTAATATACTTTTGTCCATCAATATAGATGCCGTTTGGAACCACAGTTTTTCAGCTTATGAGGCTTACTTTTTCACCAAACACGTAAATTTTGTTTCCGCGTGCTGAATTGTGTAACGAGCAGAAAAAGTAAGGTTGGAGTTACGTTTATGGCTGTATTGGCTGAAGTTACTGTAGATGACCATTTTAGCTATTTTTACATGTAATTTTTTATTTATTTTATTAATAAAATATATTTTAAAAATAATTTTTTCTTAAATCAGCAGAATCAGCCAATGTAGCCACTTTAACCAGAACTTCATAAATTTTAGCAGAATCAGCTAAATCAGCCGATTTTTCGTGCTACCAAACGGGTTCATACTTTTGGTTTATCTATAATTTCAAACGACAATCTTTTTATTTTGTTCAAATTTGGCTTTTGCTGTCCGTATTCACAATAGATATATTTTATTCAAATATGTAGATTTCAATTACCAATAGAACATAATTTCAAATTACTGAGTATAAAACGTTACAAGACAAATTTGGACGAAAGGAGTAACTATACTAAAGTTATACAGTTATACTCTTTCCATTCCGTTGGAAAGTTCCCGTAGGTTAATAGCGTGATTTTTTAGGCAAATGATTAAATAAAGTAATTTGGGTAAAAAGAAAAGGAAAAGAGAAAGTTTAGAAAAATGAAGCATATAAATTATAAAATGAAAGTAATTTAAGGGAGATAAATTAGGTGAGTGAATATTTGTGAGACTTGACATGAACCAATCGAAAGGAGAAAGTTGAGTAAATGTGTAATTACAAAGAGTAAATTATTTCTTAAATCGGAACGAGACACTCAAATAAGAAACGTGAGAATCCTTCAACTTAACCGAATAAAGGGAGTATCAATTAACTGAATTAAGAGCCGGGTTGTTACTTGGACTTATCAACCATACCATTTAGTTTTTTGATCGAACACGTAAGTTTATGTAATACGAGTAATAAAAATAACTAAGATTTTGAAGTTTACTTTTCTATCTCAATTAGTTTAAGACTTTAAGCTATCATACATGATCATTTAAATTCTTTTTACAAAATGGGGGCCGCCGCTGCCTAAGATTCTGCCATTAAAGGATTAACGCAAATATACGACTAACCTCCATTGAGCCAGAGGACAAGAGGTTTGATGGACGGTTGAGATTGAGCCTCAAAGAACCAGTAGAATAGGGCCCGTCCATTAGACTCATTAACTGTGATGTAGCCAGAGTATTGGGTGATCAAAGGGCTGTTTGGCTGGCCAGGCAAATATTCTATCTTATCCAAATCCTGTGCTGATCTTTGGGATGATGATTCTGAAAATGGTAAAACCCAGAAACAGAGAAACCCAAAGAAAAATAAACTTGATGTCTTAAGATGATGAAGGGACACCATTTTCAAGCTCTATCTACTGCCTTTCTTCTCTTCTCACAAGAGAGTGAATTTAATTATGATTTATTAGAATGGGAATCGTCTTGAGTGTGTGGATAACTTTTTCTAAATATGAATGAATTGTTGTAATTTTGCTCGATTATGATAATCTGTGCCCTGGGGTTTCTTTTTTGTTTATTGACGTTGGAATTGCATATTGTAGCGTAAAGACAGAAATGCATTATTATGATAATGTCTACATGATACAAAACCAGAGTTTGACCACATTTTCAACCCCGTGACACAGTGCGCATTATTACATTCCTACTTCACGGGGCGTATCGGGCTATGACCTATATGCATTAACTTGCATTTCTCAATCTGCAACTCGATTTGGCTGTTGATTAGGACTGTTAACCAATTGAGCTTTTATCGAATAATTCGATTTCGAGCCCGGTTTCAAACTTAACGAGCCGAACTTAACGAGCTTTCGAACGCAGATCCGAGAGACTGAGATGATTTTTAAGTTCGAAAATTTAATCGAGTCGAGCTCGAACAAGTGGCGTATCCACTATGGGGGCAGCGGGGGCAGCTGCCCCCACTCAACCCAACCCCAACCCGGTATATATCTAAAATTTTATAAGAAATTACTCAAAATAAGAGTTAAGTGTAGAAAAAAAATTTAAAATAGGATTAAGAGTGTTTTCTTTCTTATTAAAAGAAAGAAAGGCTAAAAAGTTCACTAAATTTTGCTATGTGTAGCTTATATTTAGGTATTTTTTTCTCAAATTTTATTCGCAATTGCATCTTTATACACCGTAATATAAATTAATCTTCTGTTTATTCATACTGATACATACATACATACATACATACATACATACATATATATATATATATATCTTAAACGAAATTTAATCAAACAATATTAATGATGTGATTTGCTATTTGTGAAACATGAGACTAAATGAGTTTTTTCCATTTTCGGTCCCTCGACTATTGTGTCTTTTGACACTTTTGATATTCGACTTTTAATTTTTCCATTTTTAGTCTTCAACTATTGTGTTAAAGACACTCTTAGTCCTCGACTTCAAAGTGTTTCACATTTAGTCCTTTGGTATTATCAAATTGACACTTTTAGTCATACCACTACGATTTTGACATAATATGTGAAGGACTAAAAATGTCACTGTTATAATAGTTGAAGGACCAAAAGTGTCACTTTTATGTAAGTCAAAGGACTATGAATGGAAATTTTCAAACAGGGGTACTAAAAGTGTCTCTAGTATAATAGTTGAGGACTAAAAGTGGAAAAATCAAAGTCGAGTACCAAAAATGTCAGTGACATAATAGTCGAAGGACTAAAAGTGGAAAAAACTCGAGACTAAATTGTAGTGCAAGTTTACCCCCACTCACCAATTTCCTGGATACGCCACTGGCTCGAACATAGTAGTATTTGGCTCGATTTGAGCTCAAGCCTATTGAGTATTGAACACCCTGAAATTATAAATATGATTTATATGTATGTGAAAATTTAAATATAATTAATACGGAGTATGATTTTTGCGGTTTTAAATAGGGAAAAGTGGCAGAAATGGTCCTAATGTTTTGTTTTAAGTGGAAATATGACCCTAAACTTTCAGGGTGAAATAGCTTTAAGAATCAACTTTTTTGACAATTCACCTAAACTCACGGTGCCCTTATTTAACCGCACATATGGGCCTAGACTAGATAAGTAAGATTATAACAAAATTAAAGATGAGTACTGAGCAGCTTGTTTTCGTCTTAAATAAAAAGGTGGTGTTCCCAAAAAGTTGGTGTTATTTAAAGCTATTTTTCCCAAAAAGTATGGTGCGAAGTTAAATTCCCCTTTACTTTTTCACCAATTTCTTAATAATTGTGTCAAAGTCAAATGAGACACATTACACATAAAATGAAACAAAGGTAGTATACAGGGGTGGAGAGTGGCCAACCGGGCCACGACCTAGGCCAAATTTTAAAATTGCTTATATTTTTTATGTAAAAATTTATGTGTAAAAATTTATCTATAAATTTTTTTTATACCGGCCCAGTCCAATTCTTAATCTTGGCTACGCCCCTAGTAGTATATATTTCCACACTTTTTGGTAACGGCTTGTTTAATTTTAAATTAAATAAGTGAACCAATTTAATTCTAATTTGTAGTTTACTCGTTACAACATGCACAGACGTGTTTGATTTGTTCATATAAAAAGTTACATGGGAGCGTAGAAAGTGAGATCTTAAGTTGTGCTAATACTCTACCATTAGTAGCGTTAGTAGAGGTGCCTAGAATGTCAAGAAACATAAGTTATAGATCTATTTCACCCCCAAAAAAGTTGAAGGTCATATATCCACCTAGAACATAACTTTAGGGTCATTTTTGCCCATTTTCCTTTTTAAATATGATTATTAATGAACTGAATACTTGTCGAATAATTCGAGCACGAGCCTATTAACGAGCATAATCTAAAATTTTAAAATTCGAGCATATTTATTGAGCTTATTGAGCGCTCGGTTCGAACATCGAACATCTTTCAAGTGCATTTGACACGAAAATTAAGATAATGAGTATTGTGTGGTGGAGCGTTATGCAGAGTAGGAATAAATGTGTAGAATTGTGTAAGAAAATTATTTACCAAAAAAGAAAAGGAAATATTATTTTAGAACAGACAGAAAAGAAAATTTTGAAGATAATTCAAAGATGATGAAGTATAATCTAAGGCATGAAGGTGAGGGGGTAGATTTGGCTGGCGCCGAGAGGCTTGGTCATGTGACTCCGGCCTTTTTTTTTTGTTTTTACTCCAGGGGGTCTGGGGGAGGGGGGCTGGGGAGAGCCTGGGATAATCAAGGCTGAAACCCACTCCATTGAGTTTCACACCCTTGTGTGCCTAGCGGGATTCGAACTCGAGAACTCCCACTAGGCACGGTAACCTCACAACCAGCTGGGCTGGAATGCTTGGTTTGTGACTCCGGCCTATTTCACGGCTTATGGGCAAACTTAGAGGCCGTTTGGCAACACTATTTTCCGGCTTATCAGGCTTATCGGCCAACTTTTTCACCAAACACATAAGTTTTGCTTTCGTGTGCTGAATTGTGTAATAAGCAGAAAAAGTAAGGTTGAAGTTATTTTTCTGACTGTATGGGCTAAAGTTACTATAGATGGCCATTTTAGTTATTTTACAAATAATTTTTCATTATTTTATTAATAAAATATATTTTAAAAATATTTTTTTCTTGAATCAGCCAATGCAGCTACTTCAGCCAGAACTTCATAAATTTCAGCAGAATCAGCCTCAAAACCTCTCTTGGGCAAGTACTATCGTACATCCTACTAACAGTCAATTTTGTTCGATGGATTCAAATTAAATCAAATCATTAAAAATGAGTTGCTTTGTATTTTGTATGAAGTACTTTTATCTTTCGATTTGAAAAGAAATCATGCCCGTCCAAATCCGGAACATTTTTGATAAAGTTTTTTTTTCTTCAAAAAAAAAAACTTGTATCAAAATAGTGTTAATCACTAGTGAAAATAGGGATTTAGTAATTTTTAAAAAATATATTTAATGACGGTTCAATGTTATCGTAGCAGCAAATATCAAAAATCAAAAACTTTCATATGGGTGCGTATAATCGTTACGGTATACTTCGTATTTTGTATAATGGTTGACACAAAATCGTTATGGAAACATTCAATATCAAATAAATATTATCCTTTATTGTAGGTCTTCTATATGGGATTAAGCAAATTGCAAACTCATAAAAAATGTTATCCTGTACGTAAAGTCTATTTGAAAATCCTTTATATATCAAGATTGTTTTCGAATATCGCTAGTTCACATTTTCTTAATTGCCACATTTTTATGTTACAACTCAATATCAGCAAAATAACATTAATGTATGATAACATGAAACGCATATCATTAATCATAACTAACATAAACATAAAATTCACATCGATATTGTGTCATTTCAAAAACATCAGTATAAACTAACTACTAGTTTTTCACTCGTGCGTTGCACGGGATAACAAATTAGTCAAAACATTATTATGCAAAAATACTTTTTTAACTGTAATATATAAATGAGACTGAAGAAATTATTCAAGAGAACATTACAATTTGACAAATCATTTGATAAAATTTCATGCGACACTCTGCATGGATCCTTTCACCTCAAAAAAAAAATAATACAAATTGAGAATTATCAAATCACTCGTTACCCCAATAACCAAATATGTTTATAGTTCCATCACCATCTCAAGCATCAATTTTAGCTTCTGTCACCTGAGAAGTGTGCAATGCAGCATATCACTTGCTACAGGCCTCTCTATTTCTCACAAAAATTAGAGAAAGGTGAAAAATAAGCCCTCAAACTATTATTAGCAACTCTGAGAGTAGGCAGGCCCTTGGAATACAACAATTGGATCCTTTTTACTGACCGGTGCATGTAAGGTGGTAATTTTATCATGAGAATTGAGAAGTTACCCGTACCGGTAAAAAGGCTTGATTGCTTTATTTGAATGGGTCCAAGGGTGTATTTGCAAGGTCTTTCGGTTAGGGGTATAATTGCGGAATTGCTAATAGTTCACAAGGACTTATTTACCCCTTTTCTCTAAAACATTATTTGGTCAACAAATAAATGCTCCCAATCTTAAAAGAAATCAAGTAAAATACTCATGAAGGTGAAACTAATGACACAATTTAGGAAAAATCAGCAGCAGTCTTTGAAATTCAAAATTCCCATTTCAAACCGAAACCATCCGAGTCTGGAAAAATGAAAGTTTGTAACCATTACTCTATTTTATATACATTTATACCATTAGAGCTCAAAAACGTATAGTTCATGTTCTGATAAAACCATATTCCACATAAATCTCTACATAACCCTACTCAACAAAGTTAAATAAGTCTCTTACAGTCTTGCCTGCTATTTTGAAAATGACAATAACTCACAATCTATGGGAAGTCAAGTAAAGCTAAAGAAAAACAATAATTTAAACAGCATATTTAAGAAATTATCCCATTAATATATTATAAATGTAGAGACAAGCAAAATAAAAGCAAAACATACCTGATGTTGCCGACATAAAGGCAGGCCCAAGACCGCATCTATCTCAAGCCTCAAGGCATCATGTACTTGAGAATGAAATATAAAATGCAACTTGTAGTTCCCATTTTCCTGTAACTAATGTGCTTTAAATCTTAATCAAATAAGAAGAGAAATAAAAGCAAAAACGCATTTTTCTCTAAGAACATTAGTGCTTTAAAAATATTGGGCCAAG